GGGTCCAGTGGACCCGAACATCTTATATGTAATAGAAATGTGTAGGGGGGGTGTATGGTGTGTGGTCATTAAATATGTATTCTGATATATGTTCTTCACAGAAAATGAGCCAAAGCCAGTGAGTCTCAGTTTGAAAAATTAAATAATTATATAATTTTTCTTTTATTAAAAAGTGAAAACGGGTCCCACAGACCAGAACACCACACAAGGGTTAACAACAACAAAACAGCAAAAAGCTCCAAATAACAAATTCACTCAAATCATTTAGAAATGTGTAAATATTGGCCAGTAGTTAAAAAGGTTATTGATTTTGGAGGTTTTGCTGACTTGACGACAACAGACAGCCTAGGTCAGGACACAGTCTGGTCAGGACACAGTCTGGTCAGGAGACAGTCTGGTCAGGACACAGTCTGGTCAGGAGACAGTCTGGTCAGGAGACAGTCTGGTCAGGACACAGTCTGGTCAGGACACAGTCTGGTCAGGACACAGTCTGGTCCCTACAGCACCAGCAGCAGCTCCATGTGCTGCTCTACAGGTGGACAACAAGACACTGGACAAATGGTCCTCTGTTGTCTCAAGGAACTGCAGACCATCCCATATGGACTGCAGAGATGTTGTCCACATACTAATGTTGGCTAAGGTCACACTCCTCCTCCACCACCTCCTCCACCTCCTCCTGTGGATTCCTTTGAAGGATTCCATGTTAGCTGAGGTCAAGTGTTGTGTGTCCACACTGAGCGTCAGTGTAGCCTCTGCTCAGCAGGACCACCGCTGAGCACCTGCTGTGTGTGTGAGTGTGTGTGTGTGGGGGGGACAACTTAAATTTGTGAAACATTCATTTTAGGCAATCCTTTTCATCTTGTGTTTCTCTGTACATGTACTTTTATTTTAACCTGCATCCTTCAGGATGTCTACTGGCAGACGGTCCCTTGGACAAAGCAGACCAATAAACCAATCAGTTAAACTGAGGTCAACTGAGGTTTTAGTGACTGATGAGTATTTAATAGTACAAGGAAATTCTGTGAGTTCTGTTGTTCTGTCAGTGGAGATGTTTGGTCACATGAGCATGGAGTGACTTCATCAACCAAACCTTGTCATACTCTCCTCCTCCATCTGTCTGTGTTTCCCTCTGAGCGAACACTCCAAACCTTTAATGTGCTTTGATTTTTCCATTAGCGTCCTGGTGGTTCTTTCTCACATCGGTACTACACTCATTACTGACTTTCATCTTAAAGCATTGCTCTCTAACTGGTCTGCTCAATGTTTCCTGTTTGCTACATTTTCTTATTTCTTTTTTGACTAATGTGAACACTTTGTCAACCCTTCTGTTGTTTACTTTTTTTCATTTTCCCCATATATATATATATATGTATATTCATACATATATATGTATGTCTATACATACATATATATGTATGTATGTATATATAATATGTATATATAATAAAAAATCATATTTTCTGGACTTTTTTTCAACTTCCTGTTAATGTATGACTCCACTTCCTGTCTGTGTTTGGCCGCTCAATCCTGATGAGTCCCAGTTGGTCTTGATGAAAAGTACTGAAACTTCTGCTCGTGTAACGTAATCTCTTCTGGATTTCTGTGAGTTTGTTTTTCACATTTTCTTAGTCTTTTACGTTGTTTACAACTGCATTTTTCCAATTTAAAATGTGTTTTTTCGCAAATATACTGAAGTTTTATCCTGGGTTGAATTGAAATCGTTCGTTTAATGTTGTGCAGTCATGCCCATGTATGGCCAGTGTCATATATCGTTTAATTAATCCAGTGTTTCATATTCACACCGATGTTATTAATATGGGTTGTGGACCGTACCGTTTTACGGCTGTTTTACGGCACTTCCTCATCGCGGAGTTACGCGGGTGTACATTTCTGTTCGTAACCATCGGCATTTTTTTTAATCTTCTCGTCTTTTATTAAACTGGTCCGAGGACCACAGGTGTTTGCAACGTCACGGTCGAGGCGGGCCGTATATGGCTGTTTTTACGACACTACCTTCAGGCGTAGCTCGGCTGGTGTCCAAGTTCGCCGACAATACGGCAGTCATATATATTACCTACTACTAGTCCTACGTCAACACCTCTCTCTGTAAAAGTTATGAAGTCAAAGTAAAACAACTTTTCCACCGGAAGTGGTTTGTCACTCAGTGACATATATAAAGGCCTGTGTGTGCAGGGCCACAGCCAGGAATCCTGAAGAACAGGGATATATTTTTACATCCCGTACAGTATTCACTAACATCTACAGTGTTATTATCGTAGAATACAGCGCCTCCTTGCGTGTGGTGTTTTGTGCTCACGATCTCCACAGTCACAGCAGAGTTCAGTTCATGTTTCTCCTCCTCCACTGTAGCTGAACTCAGTGGAGCAGCTCTAACGTGACCCCCCCCGTCGTGCCTCGGCTCTAGTTTGTAAAAGTCAGTAGCCTGTGGTGAGGTTCTCCTGCTCTGGTTTGATGTGAGGTGACTCCATGGCTGATGGATTAAGCCATCATTGTTCCGGGCGGCAGCAGCAGCTCCTCTCTGGAGAACACCACCCACAACTGCCCCGTTTCTTTTTTTACCCCCCCTCCACCTCCCCCCGAAACTACACCAGTATTTATATTCTGACATTTTTTCTCCACCTTGGACAATGTGTGAATGTGTGAATGTGATTTGACTTTCTCTCCACCTTGGACAATGTGTGAATGTGATTTGACTTTTCGTTCATTTAAATATCGTTTACTTGACGTCACCATCATCAGCGTCATATAAAAACCAACTTAAGTCTAATTATTATTATTGTTATTTTAATCTGCTTGTGTTACAGGGTAGCACTGGGTGCGCGCAAACCTGCTCCCAATTCCAGCGGCATGCGCGTGCATAACCGCCAGTGTCCTGACACATTGACAGAGATCCCTGTGTTATAACTGTGTGCGCGTGCGTGTCTGTCGGTCTGCGTGTGGGGGTGTGTACGCACGCGCGAGCGCGCATTACCGGACGAAGCAGTCAGTCTGTCTGTCTCTCTGTCAGTCTGTCTCTCTGTCTGTCTGTCTGTCTGTCTCTCAGACATGTCCTGACATATTTACTCGCGCTTCATTAACGCACACAACATGCGCACGTAACACGCACTCATTTCCCTGTACGTGTGCGTAATTTTGAGGAATTTAACCTGCCTTCATATATGTGTGCGTGTGTGTGAGAGAGAAAAACAGAGAGAGAGAGAGTCTGACTGTGTGTGTGGGATGGTGAGAGAGAGGGAAAACAAGCTCGCAGCATTGCGTGAGAGAAAACCGGAAACGACGGCGTTTGGTGTCGAAAAAAAAAAAAAAAACCTCTCACAAAGATGAATGATGACAGTTTGAATGAACCAGTGGTGGTTGGTACTTTGGTCCAGTAAGGACTGAAGAATCTGTAGGTACCAGAACCACACGAGTTAATGGGACTGTAGGCTCTGGGTCAGAGAAATGTAACCAACAACCTACTGTCCTGAACAGACGGAGACGAGTAAATGTGTCGGACATGAGAAGAACGTGGAACACTTTGTGGATAACTCGTACAGATGAGGAACCATAAACACTCGTAGGCCCAGAAGAATGTTACCCATATTATGGGTGTGACCTACGACAGAACGAATGACTCTGAACCAGAACCCAAACCAAACACTGCTGGGAAACGCCCAGTAATTTAGTGGAGGGCTGGACGCCAGACCAACAGTACCTCAGTCCATCACTAGACCTCAGACTTTGACCTGGGATACGAAAATGAATAGTCCAAAAATATTTATATATAGACCAAAGTGTAATCTTTAAGATATTCTGTTGACGGTCATGAACCCCCTTTTATTGTGTTTTTATTGTGATAGCTCAGACCGGAAGCAGCTTTCTTCCCCGTCAGTTATTGTCGCTGCTTCTCCGCAGTGACGGAGAGAAAAGTGTTGGTTCAGAGCTGAAGCTTCACCTGCAGAGGAGACTTCTCTCTGAGTTCGTCTCCTTCTCCAGGTGTCTCCTCCTCCTTCATCCTCCTCCTCCTCCTGTTCCTCTCCGCCCACGCACACTCACGCACTCCACCATGATCCAGTGTCCGCGTTGAGAGTGCGAGGGTCCGGCTCTGGATGGACGGATGGAAGGACGTGGATGGCTGAAGTGATGGAATGATGGATGGATGAAGGGATGTTGGACGCGGTGAACTGAAGGAGACGAGGGTTCCGTTTCCGTTTTCTCTTCCTCTCTTTTGGAGTTATTTCTGCCTTCTTCCCATATCTGGAATACTTTGTTGTGGAAAAATCTGCTTTTGTCTTTTCGTCCCCAAACACCTGCTATGACAGTGGGCTGGAAGATACCTGCTGGGAGGGGAGGAAGGTGAGGGCTCCAGCACTGAAGAAGTCCCTCCGGTTCTGGTTTCACTTTTTCCGAATCTCCGTAAATTGTGCGTGATGTGTGTGGAGTGAGAGCAGAGGATGGATATAATCTGGGAACTACTGCTGTTTCTGCAAGCCAACCTGATCGTCTGTATATCAGGTGAGTTCCCGTCAGTCACTCCGTCAGTCAGTCAGTCAGTCCGGGTCTCTCAGGAATTTAACCGAGAACCAGTATAAATGCGCAGTTTAACTGAGGAAACGCCTCAGAGGCTGCGCTCCAGGAAGATCGATGTCGGACTCGAACCGTTCCTCTGCGTGTGTGTGTGTGTGTGCGTGTCACGGGGGAATGTGGCCCACAGTCGAACAGTGTGATTGAAGTGTTTCTCCCGCTCCAGTGTGTGAGTGTGTGTTCTCCACACACACACACACACTGAGTCCGTGCTCAGCGGAACGCTGTGCGCGTCCACGTGGACCAACACGGTCACGGCTCAACTTTAATCACTTTCTCCTCAACTGTCTTTAACGTTTGGTTCTTTGGACCGGACTCGGTGTCAGTGGGTTGTTTTACGCACTGCGGTGCGTTAACCCCGCACCCGCGAAAAACCGGCCCATAGCCTCAGGTTACATACAGTATATATATGTGTGTGTGTGTGTGTTTTATAATTGATGGATTAGTCACATATTCTAATGAGGACATTGTTGTGTGAATATTTGTATTTAAGAAGTTCATAGACATCTGTGATTGGCTGACATCAGTGGCCTGTTCTGTACTTTACTTCACATTTGAAGTACTTTTGAAACGTCCTGTCCTCAGTGGTCACTGGTTACTTTGGTTCTGTCAAAGTCAGAGTTCTGGACCTCACCCTGTTCCTGTTCACGTGAGAGCTGCAGCATTCACAGCCCTGACTTCTGAACCTGGTTCCTCCATCACAGTCTGCTGAGTGTGGTTCTTCTTCAGCTTTGATTGCTGGTTGGCTGTGAGGCTTTGAAGTCACACGGACTTCATTTACAGCCTTTGAAGTGGAGCCTTTGTTCCTGAAGAGGAGGAGGAACAGAATAGTTGATCTTCTTTAGATCTTCCTGTTCATTTATGACCAAAACCATTTTAGTAAATGGAATAGAATCCAGTACCAGCAGGTTGGTTACAATGACGGCCCGTGTTTACAGTAAAGAGTACAGTCAGCCCCAAGTAACTAGTACAAGTGTAACTAGTACAAGTGTAACTAGTACATTTGTAACTAGTACAGATGCCGAATTTTTGGCCACTGACATTTTCTTTGCTGAAAATGGCCCAGAAGTGCATTTTTGGTTTTCGGCTGAAAGACTTTTATCACCGAAACAACGCGGCCAAAACAGGAAGTTATGATGACGCAATCAGGCCAGCGTGCCTTGTCTGATAGTGCCAACATGTCTCTGTGGTGTGGACATATTTCAGTATATCTGATAAAGACCTACGGATAGTAATTAAGAGGGGGTGCATCTGTTAAGACTTTCTCCACGTCGGGTTTAGTTTATCACCTGAAATCCAAACATCCCTAACGCTGTGCAGAAGCCTCTTTGTGCAAAAGTGAGTCTTGGCTGTGGACAACTCAGACCAGGAGCTCAGAACCAGGAGCTCAGCCCAGGAGCTCAGAACCAGGAGCTCAGCCCAGGAGCTCAGAACCAGGAGCTCAGACCAGGAACTCCCCGTGACATTCACTTCACACTAGTGGGTCTTACCAGAGAACATTCTCTCTCTTCTCGCCCCGTGTGAACAGCTAACTATAGAGACCAGCTCCTCTGCTGTATCTGTAGCAGATGTTGTTCCACTCTGTCAGTCTGTCAGCTCACGGTTCACAGTGCAGACTGTACTTGCTCCACCTTATAAAGATCATTACTCGGATGTGGGAATAAAGCAGCGCGCACGAGAAATGATCCTGAATTTGACTAAAATGCACTCCGTGTTCAAGATAAACATTTTATTTTGGATTTTATTTTAATTGTTTCTTTCAGTTCTTTGGTTTTCAGTTTTCGACCTTGGTTTCCTTGCTTTCAGTTTCAGCCAAGAATTTTCGTTTCGGTGCATCAGTACTAAATAGTTCTTGGGTGTGATTACTGCATTAAAATGTTCCTGGTACAGTTTCAATGTATTCAAATGCAATATCAGTTCCGAGTACTCCTTTTTGTGGTGAAATCCTGACACAGTTCCTTGGTACTGTTCCTAACTCTTGGTAACATTTGTCTTTCGACTGTAGGACAGTTGTTTTTCTTCTTTTTTTGTTGCTGCTGCTGCTGTTCCTGCTCCTTTTTCTCCTCCGGTACCAACTCCATCAAACTTCATTTTCCTCCTTTTTATTTCTGCCAAATCTCTACAAAACCCAGAGCAGAGTGAAGATCAGTGAGGATGTGTCCCTTTATACCAATCTGTCAGAGCCAGAGGAGACGTTAGCACCAGGCTGGAAAAGTCGTTTTTTTTATTTCTGGCTGTGAACAGATGGAGAACAGCAGCCAGGAACCCTGAGGTTGGCAGAACACCTCCGATACTGCTCTGATGTCAGAGAGCAGAGCTGAGGACCAGTCTTTATGGATGTGAGCTCAAACTGCACATCGGTACTGGAACTCTTTCTCATAGTTTTGGAAGCTTGGTCTTGAAACAGGCCATGTTTTGGTGCAGTGAGTTTTTTACTACTTTGTTTCAATAGCAGCGTGTACAGAGGTCATTACTGCCCCCTAGGTTGACGGAGTGGGTATTGAACTGAACTGTGGCGTCTGACACCTGACAGTTCAGGACAGTTATTGACATGTCACACTGGGACACTGGGAACTTGTTGGTACTTGTTCCTCAGAGCAGACTGGACCTGACTGGATGAGCGTTCCTGACCACAGTAGGTCCACACCTGGTCCAGTTTGGAGCAGAACAGGGCTCCACATTCAGCCCAGGTTCTATATAAAGAACGCTGATCTCCAGAGGAGCTTCTTTCCTCTGAAATACCAGCAGTGAGTCTGCAGCTCATTTGTCATGCTCCTCCTCCTCGTCCTCCTCCTCCTCCTCTTCCTCCTCCTCATCTTCCTCGCCACATTCTTCTGCACGTTCTTCTGCACGTCTTCTCTGCTCCTGCTGAGCTTCATGGAATTTTCTTTACTTCTTCCCAGAGTCAAGATTCTCCTTCTCCTCTTCCTACTGTCCAGTTCCCTGTGACTAGTTCCAACAGTTCCTGGTACTGTTTTCAGTCCTGGTACTAATTTTTTTCGTTAAAATAAATAAGTGAAGGAGCTGGAACTTGACTGATTCCTGGGACAGTTCCTGGTACTGTCATTAGTTAAGTATGATTAGTAATGAACATATATTTCCTGGTACTATTTCCTGGGATGAAGAAGGTGTTCTCCTCTGTCCCAGCACCGTTTCTCCTGTTTAATCTGACAGAACATCTCAGAGCAGCACGTTCTCTCCAAACCTGTTTCCACTTTTCTCCTCCGTCACCTCCTCTTTCAAACTCTCTGTGCGTCTCCCTCCTGCCCTCTGGGCCTCCGTGCTGAAAATGGAGTCTCGCTTGACAGAACATGTCTGAGGGAAAAGTTTCTAAGAGTTCTCCGTGAAGTTGTTCTGCAGACGCAGCAGTGACAGTGTGAAGGTGATGAAGTCCCAGAACCTGCGTTCTCCAGAACCCTCCTTGTGTTGGCTCTGAGGCAGAGTGATCCAAACACCTGGCTGCTGTAGCCGTCCGTGGACCATTAGCGTCAGCGCTAACTCTGCTGAGGCAGGTTTTCATCATCCACTGTAAGGGGAATCACACACTTCCATCAGACGGAGGAACGAGGCCCCAGGGAAGTCTGGGAAATTTAAATGTTATGATGAAGTCGCAGGCGGGAAATGGACTTTTTTAACTGCAGCTCTTTGGTCCGTGTGAGATTTGATTTAGTACTATTTGGAGACGTTTGGAGGACTATTTAAATATGAATATGGACTGAAGTTTCTTTCGCTCGAGGATTTTTCCTTCCTTTCATCTTCTTCTTCTTCTGGCTAATTGGCTAATATTAGTGTTAGCTAACTGCTAGCTCTTTCTCTGGACGTCATTTAAATGTTGTCGTGCTCATGTTTACAACGTTGTAGCCGGTGTCTGTACTGTGTCTGTACTGTGTCTGTACTGAGTCTGTACTGAGTCTGTACTGACCTGCCCCACAGGTCATGTTGGGATGGATGTGTGTGTGTGTGTGTGTGTCTGCACCGTCACACCAAGTATGAATGGAACTGATGTATAAACCCGTGACCCTTGACCTTTACATCAGCGCTGATGTTCTCAACTGTTTCAAGTGTTGAACGTAAGGAGACGCCACAGCTGTTTTTCCAACAAATGGCAGTACTTGACATTTGAGTGTGTGCACGCTCGCGTTTCCCACAGTGGCCGTAGCTCATCTCAGCTGTGGCTCTAACAGCGAGCTGGACTGAGACGACCTCCACGTCAGCTGTGATGTACCACAGGCTGGTGTGTGTGTGTGTGTGTTATACACACACAGATTGACTAGGAGAATAAGGTGGACAGTGAGGAGCTGATGAGGAGTCAGTGGAACCACAGGTGGGAAAACCAAATGTCACTCGGACCAATCAGAGGCCAGCGTTCTCTGCTCTGTACAAACAGCAGCAGCAGCCAAACACAACCCACTGCCGCTAATCTGATAATCCACCACAGATGTGTGTGTGGGGGGGTCTCCTACCACACACACACACACGCTGTGGTCAGTATCAGTGTTTCCTCTGAGGTTCTGCCTGGTTCTTCCTCCTAGACTGTTCTCCTCTGAAGAACAAACCAAAAATCACCTGTGTTCTCATAAATTCAATGTTTTCTACGGTCAAATGTGTGTTAGCTCCAGAGTTAGCTCCAGTGTTAGCTCCAGTGGTAGCTCCAGAGGTAGCTCCAGTGTTAGCTCCAGTGGTAGCTCCAGAGGTAGCTCCAGTGTTAGCTCCCGTGTTAGCTTCAGTGTTAGCTCCAGAGTTAGCTCCAGGGTTAGCTCCAGAGTTAGCTCCAGGGTTAGCTCCAGAGTTAGCTCCAGCGTTAGCTCCAGAGTTAGCTCCAGGGTTAGCTCCAGTGTTAGCTCCAGTGGTAGCTCCAGAGGTAGCTCCAGTGTTAGCTCCAGTGGTAGCTCCAGAGGTAGCTCCAGTGTTAGCTCCAATGTTAGCTCCAGCTTTAGCGCCAATGTTTGCAACTATGTCATGGATAAAAGCGTACGGTGAAAACCCAGTCGACCGCGTGGAGCGGATGAAGAGTCTGTTTTTCTGGTATTTTTTATTTTTGGAGGTGTGAATTGTCAGGAGCAGCAGACAGAGGGAGTGTTGTTGTTGTCAGAACAGTGTCAGATGAAGGTGCATGGAGAAGGTGTGACTGTACAGAAGCAACAGTCTCTTCATCCCCGACTCTCTGTGTCAGCCTGCGTACCAACCAGGACGTGGAGTCTGAGACTCTGAAGGTTCTAGGTTTTGTAGCTGCCTCTGATCTGAACAGCGTTTGTTGTTCTGGAGCCTGGGAGAAGAAGAGAGGAGAAGAGGAGAGAGGAGCTGAGGCTGGGCTTGATGTTTGACACAGCTGTCACTCAAACTGCACCCCCCACCCTGTGGTGAAGCTGCGTTCACACTGCTGTTCTGTTGTCACTGCAGGTCACATGACACGTCACATGTTCTCACAGGTTCAGGTTGGTGGAACAGTTCAGTTGTAGGGCTGTTGATAGGTGAACACTGGTACACTGGTACACCTGTACACTGGTACACCTGCACACCAGTACACCAGTACACTGGTACACCTGTACACTGGTACCCCTGTACACTGGTACACCTGTACACTGGTACACCTGCACACCAGTACACCAGTACACTGGTACACCTGTACACTGGTACCCCTGTACACTGGTACACCTGTACACTGGTACACCTGTGCACTGGTACACCTGTACACTGGTACACCTGTGCACTGGTACACCTGTACACTGGTACACTGGTACACCTGTACACTGGTACACCTGTGCACTGGTACACCTGTACACTGGTACACCTGCACACCAGTACACCAGTACACTGGTACACCTGTACACTGGTACACCTGTGCACTGGTACACCTGTACACTGGTACACCAGTAACGCCTTGTGTTCTCCTCCATGATCCACCTCATTTACTTCCAGTTCTCTGTTCTAGATTCTAACTCTTCTAACTCTGTTTCTTTCTTGATTTCCAGCTCAACCCAACACACCCAAGATCCATGAAGGATGGTGGGCCTACAAGGAGGTGGTGCAGGGCAGCTTCGTACCAGGTAGGACCCATGGTCTTGGCGGAGCAGGAAGTTCTGCTGGTTCAACTCTGACTTTATGTGGGTTCTGTTGTCGACGCGGCGCCACCTGGCTGATAGCGATGGTTTTATTCCTACATTCAGACGGAACGCCTCCGGCCTTTTCCTCCTCACTCTCTGAATGATTGATTGACGGCGTGGCGCTGTTCCTTTATCAACACTCTCCGTCTTGTTGTGCATCTGTGTGTCAGCCAATTACGTCTCCCCGAGATTGTGTTTTTCTGCTGAGCTGAGCTGCAGCAGCCCATCTCTCTGTGTGTGTGTGTGTGTGTGTGAGAGAGAGAGAGGGTACTGCCTGTCTCTCTCTCTGTCTCTCTCTCTCCCTCCATCAGTCAGGGAGGTTTGACTGAAGTGACAGCAGGACAGGAAGTTTGTCTGCTCTGGTGGAACCAGTGATGTAGAACTGATTCATCAATAAACTGATCTCTGTCTTCATCTTCATCCTCATCCTCATCTCTGTCTTCATCCTCAGCTTCATCTTCATCCTCAGCTTCATCCTCATCCTCATCCTCATCTCTGTCTTCATCCTCAGCTTCATCTTCATCTTCATCCTCAATCTCATCCTCAGCTCCATCTAACTTGTTTTTGTGCTGGTTTATTTACCCCAGTAACTCGCCTTTTCCAGTTCTCTTCTGCTGTTAATCTCCATTTGTTCTGAAGCGTTCTCTCTCTGCAGATGAATCTTCTAATCTAAACAGCTTCATCTTCTCGGTTCTGGATGTTCTAATGTTCTGACTCTGCTGACATTTGCAGCCCATTTTCGTGCGGCTCCATATTTTGTTGCTCTATAATCTTTAACAGTTCTTCATATTTTTAATGGCCGTCCTTCTTGTTAAACTAATTGCTGCTGTAGTTGGAACTGTCAGCGGGGGAACGGTGGCCCTGAGATGTAGTTCCATAACCAGTTCTTTGAATGGAGTTTAGCTGCAGCGGTTCTGCTGTGGTGAGGAGAGAACTGCAGTACTGTACGAACAAAGTACTGCTCTTCACATTTCCCAGCATGCTCGTGTTCATAAAGAACCCGTGGCTCATCCTTCCCTTTGGCGGCTGTTCTCCGTTTATCCTTTTCGCCTTCAGCTTTTTCTCTGTGCTGTGCTTGTTTTACTGAGCGGCGAACAACAGCTGGAGCTGTTCAACATCTGGTTCCCAGCTCAATTCCCAGCCGTCGTTACCTGGATCTGGAGCTGCAGGCGACAGGGAACCGTCAGAGCGACGGGAACGTGTCCTGTTCTCTCACTCTGCTCCGTCTGGACTCTCAGAGGCTGCGGCTCCCCTCCTCCCCCCTGTGTACCTCATCCTCGCCCTGAAACTTTATTTTAAATGAAATCCTGTTTAGGATAAAGGAGTCTCACTTTTCGCAGCTTTTTTCACCTCCTCACTCCTGACGTGAGAAGCTCTTCTCTCAGTTTCATTATGAAGTCATGAGGATCCTTTCTGCTGACGCTGCAGCCTCTGTGTGTGAGGAACATACAGTACTGTAGTACCGAGCCAGGAGCAGAAACACAGACAGAGTTCCTCTGTCTACGTTGGTTGGGAGTTTGATTAGAAAAAAAAAAACCCCAGAACATTTCTCAGTGAATCTTCACTCTGACGGAGACAGACTCTGTGATCTTCAGCTCTTCTTCAAGACTTTGCTCCAATGTTCCATCAGCCAGAGAATCAAACCAGCAGCTGCTGCAGTGGCAGCTGAGTGAGGAGTGAGGAGGGAACTGTTCTCTGCAGCAGGATGGCAGTTGAATATAAAAGCAGATGTTTGCCCCCCACCACCACCACCACCACCACTTCTTGACGTGTCAGTCTACTGTGACCTGGCTCTAAGACTGAAGTCCAGGGTTAGACTCACCCTGAGGCTCAGGTTCTGTTGGGGTTCTTCAGCGTTCTGCGGGTTGTGGTGCAGAACTATCTGCAGTACCTCATGAAGAACCAGGTGTGTGGTACCGTTAGACTCTGAAACTGCTGCTGTTCTTTCCTTTGAGTCACCACACAGCTAATGTCTGTCCTCCTGTGGGTAGGCAGTACAGTGCATTCTGGGTAATCCCTGACCCCCCGGCCCCCTCCAAACACAAACTCACTCAATTATATAAAAACTTGGCTGTGTGTTTGAGCTGAACATCTGGTCTGGTGGGAGTTTTAGTACTGAACTGGAGGGTGTGTTGGTACCGATGGCACTGACACCACATTAGGAGGAACATTTTAACCACATTCACTGCTGTTTGATGTGGGAACAGTTTGTTGTTTGAATCTATGTGTGACTGCGTGTCCTGCCCTGTGAGGTCTGTTTTTATTACCATCAACATTTCTATAAAACTGCATTAATCACTGAAGTGAGTCAGGGACTCATTTAAATGAAACACACATTTATTATGACTAATTCCCCTCATTATAATAGAAACCCATGCTGTTTTGATTCAGTTGATCCAGTCACTTTTTCTTTCTGTTGTTTTTACTCATTTAATGTGTCTGTTAATTAATTCAATTATGCAATTCATTTTCAACCGAATGGTAGAGAACTACAGAGGACACACAGCTCTCTGTCTGTAGTTTCAGCACCATGGACAGTTACAAACGGTACGATCCAAACCCCATAGATAAGCGCGCAGGTGGTTTCAGCACCAGGGACAGTTACACATTAGATCACACCAGCACCATGGACAGCGACATAAGGGACGTAGGCATTTTCAGGACCCCGGACAGTTACAAGTGGAACAGCGGACAGTCTCAGCACCAGGGACAGCTTTATGTTCAGCACCATGGTCAGTTCTCATCCTTTGACTCTCTGGGTTACTCTGTTAGCTAACCTTTAGCCTCCCTACTGTCCTACTCTGCAAGACAAATGATTCATAATAAATTAAATGAAATAGAACAACAGATTGAATAAAAAGAAAAGCTTTATGTTCAGCACCATGGTCAGTTCCCATCCTTTGACTGTCACCATAAAACACCATACACCATAAACAACAGAAATAAGTCAGATTTTCCTAATGTAAAACTCACTGCATTGGATTAAGAAAAATAGAAGTTTAAAAAACAAGCATCCGTCAACAGTTTAGGATAAAGGATTAGTCAAGAAAAAAAGAACAGAAATTCAGTCAGGATTTTGAGCATAAAAAGTCACATGCGCACTTGAACATTTTTGTTAGCTTCCAGCCTCAATTTAATAATACAGTTGTTTTAATGCTAATCACATTTTGAAACCCTTTGAGCTCCAGGTCGACTAAAGTGAAAGTGAAACTGGTAGATAACATTTTTAACACCGTCTGATGTGGAGGTCGTCTTCAAAGACGAGACATTGTAAAAACAGTGGTGTGGGGGGTGGAGAGCTCCTCATCCTCCTTTTCTCCACACACTATTTTTACCTCTCTTTCATCACTTCCTGTCAGTGGAAACCCTGGAGACTCTGAACATAATTGTCTTTTTACAGACTACATTTATTAAAACCAAAAATCCAGCTGTGATGAAAAGGGAGTCAAAAACGAGGCCACGTGGAACCTGATGTCATTATCCTGCTCTCGCCCGCAGCCTGCCGCTGTGAATCCCTCGTCACCGTTTCATCTCCAGGAGCTTGGTCGGATTCTGGGGAGCAGATTTAGGTCTTATCAGTGGGAGGGAAGGCAGGGTCACCTGGCCCACAGGCATCATCACAGTATCATCACAGTATCATCACAGTATCATCACAGTATCATCACAGTATCATCACAGTATCATCACAGTATCATCACAGTATCATCACAGTATCATCACAGTATCATCACAGTATCATCACAGTATCATCACAGTATCATCACAGTATCATCACAGTAATCACAGGTAGCACTGTCAGCACAGTTACAGTGTCATGAGGCTGGGTGAAGTAAGTAAAGGTAAGAGTATGATGGTAAATTATTTAAAAACCTTCCCACTGAGAGCTTGATATTCAGCTCACCTCCATTCATCATGGACGGGGGGGGGGAGGGTGGGGTGTCCAGGACAGGGACGTTTGCCAAAAGTGGAACTCAAAAGGTTGGACCAAGGTTAATAATAGCCGAAAACACAGCTTGAATAAGTCCGTTCTGTACCTAGCTAATGTTGGCCATAAAGTGCATTTTTGGTTTTCGGCCGAAAGTTATGATGGCGCAACCAAAAACCGCGGTCAGTGCGGCGGTGTGGACGTATTTTACTTTATTTAATAAAGAGATTTTCAAAATGTTAATGCTGAAAACTGAGATCTTTTCTGATCCCCTGCACTTGTCACGACTTGATCCACGTTATAAAGATGATTACTTTTATGTGGGAATAAAGCAGCGCACACGAGAAATGAACCAGGGCTGTGATGGACGGAGATCTCACAGCGCAGGCGAGAGCAGTGTGCCGGATGAGGGACGGGGACCCTGGTTGTCTGATATGTTCTGTGAGATCCTCAAATAATAATAATAATAATAATAATAATAATAATAATAAGAGGTGGTCTGTTCTGTTCTGACTTCCTGTGGGACTGTCAGTTGATTTTATCTCTCTGCTGGACATTTGACAGTTGTTAATGTATTATTTATCTAATATTAATTCATGCAATCGCAGTGCTTTGATTTTATTGAGCTTTAGTTCACACTCATAGCCATAAATGCAATGGTGTTAATACTAATAACTGGAATCATCATTTCTTTCTGTGTGTTGGTTTTCGGTTTCGGCCAAGAATTTTCATTTCGCTGCATCACTAAGCGTTAGCTCTGGGATTCTGCGTCAGGATTGTTGCATTGTGATGATGTCGCTCAGTTTTTCCCAATTGTCTTCTTCTGGCTGGGAGACAAACCTTAAGTGCAATACTGCCACCTACAGGCTGCACCGTTACCATGAGCCATTTTTAGCAGTTAAATGAGTAAAGCAGACCTTAGTAAAACATGTTCCGCCCTGTTGTTCCGCTGACGTTTGATGTTAGTTTGGAAACTGTTCAGCGTTGAAGATTCTCTGAAGTGAGAAGACGGAGATGA